AGAGTTGCAGAAGGCCTTGACGAGCTCCTGACGGTAGGTTTCGAGGAAGACGGCGCCCATCGGGGACTTCAAAAACGTCCTGCGCCCCATCTCGACGCCGTTCTCCTTCTCAACCACGGCCTCGTCCCGAGCCTTGTCGAGGTCGGCTTTGAGCTTATCATTTAAGTGTCGGAACACAGCCTTGTCGGCCTTCAACTTGTCGACAAGAGCCCTCGAGGCCTCCAAATCCTCCTTCAGCGCTTCGATTTCCTGGCGCTGAGCCTCACATTGCTCCTCGAGGGACTGGGTGGAGTAGAGGGGAGCCTTGCTCGTCTCCTCGAAGCATGGGAGCGCCGCGGCCAGAAACTGCGAAAAAGCATAAGGAAGAAATGAGATTAGATGAACCAAGTTCAAAAGAAAACATACAGAAGAAAAGTCGATTAGAAGGTAGGGAGAATACCCGAGAAAGGCACAGGACTGCGTAATTTGAACGCTCATAAAGGTTCCCCTCGACACGCTCCTTGTCGACTTCGGGATGGTGGAGTTGAGGTACTGCGCCACCTGATAAGGCTCGGGGTGGTTCCAGAGGCGAGACGGCATCTTGACCGTCACGTCTTGGACGGTGACCGGGGCTTTGGCAGGCTTCTCGACCGCCTTCCCTTTCCCCTTGTCGACTTTGCGACGTTTCAGGTCGTCAGGGATCAGGACGACGGCCCGGTCATCTTGCGCCCTCTTGCGAGAGCTGGAGCCAGAGGGTTTGTTGAGGGTGGCACCAGGGTTCTCGGCCCTGGATCTCTTCGCAGCAGCCGGCTCGACTGCCGCACTAGTGGGTCGGGAAAGAGGTGGAACAGAACCACCCGCCGGCTTCTCAGCCGATTGTTTCTTCAGCTCGAAGCGTTTGAGTGCCTTAACTGAAACGCAACAAGGGGAAATTAGCTGTCGGACAAAACAGTTGGTGAATACAATATGAGTAAATAAAACGTGAAGTCTACCCAGCAAGAATAGGTAAAAAACTTACGAGGATCATCGAGACGAGTGAGATCCTCGTAAATGACGATTCGCGCGTGATTGACTAAATCACGGTCTTTGATTAACTGACGAGCACTGTAAGTGTGCTTATTCAGCTCGGACAACAGTTGGGCAAACTCGTCAGAGCGAGGCCTTTTATTCTGTTTCACCTTCGAAGTAATCCAAGTATTCACATAAGGGTACATGCCTGAAGCAGGTCGAATGAAAACAAACTTCGACTTCCACTCGGTGACGTTCGACGAAAGATCGTCGAGAAAGGTAACACCAGCACGACGACCCAAACAGTGGGCGCCTTTGGAAAGCCGGTAACCATAACAATAAAAGAAAAAGTCGGGAGAAAAGAAATTGAGTTTTATACGAGAAACGACTATGAAGGCTATCATAATGCGAATGGCGTTAGGAGAAAACTGATTTATGGGTATATTGTACAGATTGCTTATTAGTATGAGCTCGTCTTGAATAGGAAAACGAAGGCCAAAGACGTTTGGTCTACGAAGAACGTATGACAGCCGGGGGGAGGATGGGCGAAATCGTCGTTAGGACCGGGGGCGACTAACTCCCAATCGGAGGGAAGCCCACTGAACTTTCTGAAGCCCTCGACTTCGGCTGCAGAGGCATAACAAAATGGATTTAGAACAGCTAACCTAGCCAAGGGACAAGCTATCGATACAACATTTTGAAAGTCNTTTTATAAATCAATTATAGAAAATGAAAATTACTTTTGGGCCCACACTCGATAAAATTTCTGGATCCGCCTCTGGGTATGATACTTACCATGCTATAATTGTGCCAATTTCTTTTAAATTGTGCAACACTTAAAGTTCTAAATATATAAATGAATAGCGTTCTTTTCATAGAAACTAAGTTCATGCAAAAGCTTTGAATATATAATGCATGGCGTTCTTTTCACAAAAACTCTGTTCATGTAGTTCACATGTCATTTGAATTGGCATCTACATCAGTTTATTAATGCGTCCACAAAAAAAAAAAATAAAAAAAAATAAAAAATTATAATACTAATCCTACACTGATTACTACTAATCCATCGATTCGTGTTGAGTTTTTCCACACGATTTGGTCCCTCCGATCATGATCCCACGGCGGCCACCCTCGATGATCTCGACCGTCGCATTCTGACATTCGGCCATGATCGCGTAATTATCATCCTAATTATCTTTGTAATAACCATTGAACGTCACGTCACACCCGAGCACTTTCGACTCGATGTAGTCCTCACGGGCCCACGGCGCGTCGAAGCTCACGTTACCAAAACCCTCGTGAAGGGCAATCCCGGATTTTCCCAACCATTCGGGGCCCGTGCATCGGCCGAGCCATGCACTTAGATCTCCAATTGAACTATCGTTGTGAAGCTTAATATTCTTGACCGAAAACCCTAAGTCCCATCGAGCCGTGGCCGTGTTATTGGGCACGGAAACCGAGAGAGTCTCGATTGTGAAAGTCGGGAAGGAAGTCTTCGAAAGGTATATTAACGAAAATATTATTGCTAAGGCAATCAATAGACTTAATATAATTATTAATCCTATCAATCTTAGCAGAAATTCGCAGAACGATTTTACACAGTTAGTGTCGTCGGAGGAGATTTGGGGAGGATTTGGTTGACTAGTATTTGCCATTATTGGGAATTTGTGTAATTAGCCATGGTTTGGAGTTCGGTCTATATATAATTGTATATGTGGGTTGAATTATGTAAGTTAATTTACCATGGGACTACGATTCCTCTTTGGAATAGAGTTTCAATTTTCAAACACATGTATTTAATTTAGGTGTCTGATATGGCCACATAAGGATAACCCGGTCCAGAAGCTTATTACTCAACCGGCGAACCACTCGAATTACTCGCACGTCGACATGACCCCGTCGACATGCCCAAATCGACTTCCCAAAGGTCGATCCACTAAGAGCAATCAAGAAGAAGCCGAGATTAACCTAGTCGACTCTTGCAAGTCGACCTTAATTTACCGACTTTCTCTAACCGACACCAATGAAGGAGTAACAGCAAGAGTAGCGCCCAAGCATCCTGATACCCTAAGTCGACTTCCGACAGTCGACTGAACCAAGATGACCTCGCCACTAAGGATTAGTCAAGCATAGCCTCCGAATCCTCGCATATCCACGAGTCGACATCCTATCTCTCGAAGTCGACCTCGCATACCTCGACTAGCACAGATGTGATGACGACTCATCACACTTGCACCATACTTGAAGCTCCATATACCACAAAGGATAAGAAGGGATCTTGTGATGACTCAGCAACAAAGGGGAGACGAACCGACAGGGGTATTTTGGACCTTCTGGGTCCACCGACTTGGGCATTTTGGGCACTTCACGTAAGTATTCGCTCCTATATAAAGGAGATGAGGTAACCCTAAACTCCAACTCTCATTCACTCCCAATTCCCCATAGCTGCTGCGCAGCCCTTCTTCATCACTCTCATACTGACTTGAGCGTCGGAGGCTCTACGCCGGAAACACCTCCGGCGTTGAGTTTTTGCAGGTATTCTTGTGATCTAGCAACGGTTTCAAGGCGGTTCAAGCAGATCTGAGCTCACAACCACCGGTTCACTTCAGATCTAGAAGTAGACCCATCAGTGTCAATGATCTATAATTTAAATAACTATAATGAAATACTATTGTTTAGTATTAGTTTTATTTATTTGTATATTTTACTTCATCAATCATGGTGTTACTGATTAACAAAACAGTGCAACACCTATGAAGAATTACGTACACGAGTGCTAGTAATTAATAAGAATTATTATATTTATTAAATTCTAAAGGAATGAAAAGGATAATTTTTATTTATTTTTAATTTAAATTTCGAACACTTTTTAACAAGTATTATCTAATTGTTCAGACGACACCCTGTGGATTACACGGAACTTCATGATCCGATTCAATGTCCAATTATATAATCTAATTGTTCAATATCCCCTCCCCTAACCCCTCCCCTATATATTAATTCCAAACTTGTTGAGTCTAAATGACAGCCTCGCATGCTTCGGGATCCTGTGTGACAAAATTACATGTGGTAGATTTTAATTTACTTACCGGGATCCTATGTGACAAAATTACATGTTTCGTTATTCGGCTTGAGTAGATTTTAATTTACTTACAATCTAAAAATAATTAGATTCGGTCTATTCATAAATATGTTGATTATTTATGATCATATTATTAATTTCATTTTAATCTCATTTCTTATTATAATCATTGAATTGTAAATATATTTTAAAAGTTAATAACTTTTGTATTTTTTATCAGTTTTACATATATAATATATCAAATTAATCATCTCTTTATCAGCTTCGATTTACCATTCATATTATATGTATAAAAAAAATAAATTATATTTATCTTTATAATAATAATAAAATTGTATTTTAATATTAATTAGAAAAATAAAATTATTTATCAATTAATATAATTATATTTCAAGTAGTTATGTGTTATAAGTTATTAAAATTACTATAATATAACACATGTAAGTTGTACAAGTAACAAATGTCAATCTAAAATATATATATAATAATATATTTTTTGTAAAAAAATAATAAAATTTAAATTAATTTTTTTCATTAATTTTAAGATTTAAGAATAATTTTTAAACAAACACCAGTGTAACTAGTTAGCTATTATTCCTCTCTGGTTTTAATACTTCAATTGTTTTAAATCAATATAACAAATTGAAAATCGACATACTTATATAACAAATTGAATTGAAAACCTACGTCCCAAACTAAAAACTAAAAAAAAAATAAAAAAATCTAATACTAATCCTACATGACTAATTACTAATCTTGACGTATGTCTTTGTGTTTAGTTTTTCCATACGATTTGGGCCCTCCGATCATGATCCCACGTTCAACATCGACGGTCACATTCTTGCACTCGGCCATGATCACATTCTCATCGTAATTACCTTTGAACGTCACTTCGCACCCGAGCACCTTCGACTCGAAATCCTCACGGGCCCACGGCGTGTGGAAGCTCACATTCCCGAAAGCCTTGTGGCCGAGTTCCTTGTGAAGGGCAATCCCGGATTTTCCCGACCATTTCGGGAGTCGTGCTCGTGCACCGGAGCCATGCGCTTAGATCTCCCAACAAATTATAGTCGTGAAGCTTCTCGACCGAAAACCCTAAGTCTCACTGGGCCGTGGCCCGCTGAGAGCGTTCGTGGTTGGGTAAATAAGAATGAAATTGATGTTGAAATTGAGGAAGAAAACTAGTGTCATGTTCCATAGCTCGTGCTTCAGTGGCCCCAGGAAACGAATTCTTATGTTTTATCAGTCCAATCGATCGAATTCAAAACAACGTGCCAAATTAAAACTAAAACTCTACTACTCCTACACTAATTAATAATATTAGTAACCAGTATTTTTGTAGTGTTTAGTTTTTCCACACGATTTGTGCCCTCCGATCAGTTATTGCCATTGGGGACGGGTGTGTTTGAGTTTTTAGACTAGCAACGTTGCAATTAGCTAGGGCTAGAATTGTTTGGTGCATGTGATGAATATATAGATATTAGATGAAGTTAGGTAGTTTCAACTATATCCAATATATTACATATGCTTAATAAAGATATTTATACCATAATATATATACACAATAAAAATTGAAAGTAATATATCCAATTAGGCAAAATACTAATTGCAATTATTTTCATTTCTCGCAATTTTCCGTTACTTCAATATATTATATTTATTTATTAATATATTCCTTTACATTAATCATCAATCCTTACAATATAACGTTAAATCACAATCAATAAACATTTTTTTCAAACCAAATATTTATTTTTTAATTTAAATTGACTAGAAGTTTAATTAGAATCGTGTTGTGTAATGTCACAAACTGTGAACTCATAAAAAATTGCAACAATGTATATCCAATCCAACCGAATAACATGTACTTATGCAATAACATAATAAATTACTGAAAACTGACATACTTATATATCAGTTTTCTGAGTTGACCGAATTGAAAACTACGTACGTGCCAAAAATAAAAAGTAAAAATAATTCTAAGCTCACATTATGCGTATATTTTTAGTTTCTCCACACGATTTGGGCCCTCCGATCATGATCCCTCGGCAGCCACCCTCGATCTCGACCGTCACATTATTGCACTCGGCCGTGATCACAAATTTATCATCGTAATAGCCTTTGAACGTCACGTCACACCCAAGCACCTTCGACTCGATATAGTCCTCAGTACACGTGTCGAAGCTCACATTCCCAAAAGCCTTATTTGACCCATGTTCTTCCTTGTGAAGGGCAATAACGGAATTTCCCGACCATTGGGGAGTCGTGCACCGGAGCCATGAGCTTAGATCTCCGAACGAGTCATCGTCGTGAAAATTCTCGACCGAAAACCCTAATTCCCATTGGGCCGTGACCCGTGAGCTGTCGTGGTTTGTCGTGTTGGGTACGGAAAACGAGAGGGACTCGATTTTGAAAGTCGGGAAGGTCGTAGGCTTCCAGACGACTATAAAGAATACTATAAAAGGTGTAATGAACACTAATGTGTAGAAATTGGCTGCTAAGTCGTCCAAATGACGTGATTCCTCGTCGGAATTAGGCGGGAGTTCGGCTGCGTCGGCGGCCATTGGGGAGGGAGGTGTGTGTTAACTTGTACTTGCAATTAGCTATATTGTTGTTTTGGGTGGGAAGTATTTTGTGTGTGTGTGCGTGTATATATAGGTATTAATTTATGCATTACCTATTGATCATGGCATTATGTTCAATCAATATGTATATTCATATTATTTTAAAATTTATGAAATTTGACGATTTTTCATATATGAAAGAAAATATACAGAATATTATTTTATGGTAAAGATTTTTTATATATTTATTGTTTACCATGTTATAGATTCTTTTTTCATTAACGCGTCTATACGTATAACTCAAGATTTTTGTCGTTTTAATTTTTAGTTATAAACTAACTTTTTGATGCAGAAAATATATTGTCCACATAAATTATTGGTGTTGTGCTGTAAAATAATATTTTTTTTGCTGTGCTTACCATATTTTTTTTTTTTTCAATTTTCGTACATATGCATGTGCTNAAACTGACCGAAACTAATTAAAACCAAGTAAATATTAGGCCCCAATATCGATAAAATTAAAACAACACCACCCAAGCAAATTGAAGTTGGAGATATTTAACATATCAATATCCCTAATAATAATAATAACATAGGTTCAAGTAGCCGTGCGTGGCCAAGGAAACATAATATTTAAGTTACCAAGTACGGTAAAAGCCTCTAGAGCAAAATAAAATAAACAAACCGGGAATAATAATATATTATAATTAGTTCAAACAGGTGCAGGTGCAGCCAACTAAAGGTGGTCATCTTCAACAGTAGAACATTACCCTCTTCACATTCTCCCTTAGCTGTGGAAGGGGTCTCACAGCAGCAGCATTAGCCCCAGGTTGCCTCGTACTCCGGCCACCTCTACCAGCACCACTCGCCATCGAGCCACTATCAGAAGTCTCAGGCTCGAGATAAAAACGAGCACGAAAAGCCGCCAGATGAGCATAATAAGCGGGCGGCACTGCCATATAAAACGGGATAAAATAAAATAAAGAAATAAGTTGTCAATCATCGAGAGAAAATATTTATGTACATTATCAAAAATTCAAAATACATACCAATAGAAACCGAGCGAGTGCACCTAGCATATCTGCAAAAAGGAAACAAACTGAAATTAGCAACAATCATATACTAAAAGGGCGAAAAATTCAAGATAACTCACGTGTAGCAAAGGTTATTAGTTAGACTCTGAAGTGCATCTGCCGAGAATTTGTTTTCATCCCACAGCACATGGTAGTGAGCTGGGCGGCTAGTTCCCTGTGATCAGATTCGAACGAATGAGAACAAATAATAAATGGCTGCACGTAAAAAAAATAAAAATAAAAAATAAAAAATCACCGGATTCAAATTTTATATGATTGGTACCTGAATACCAGCATGGCTGCAAAGATAGAAGTCGAACTCAGTGGGATGGCAGATTTTGGAATCTACAACAGTACCTGTACACGTTATGAAAGATAAAATCAGTGACTAATTAATAAATCTATAATGCAAGAAAAACCAGAAGGAATTGAGTTGGAACACAAAATATACCAGGGAGAATATTTCCACTTCGATCAACCGAACGTTTGTCATTGTGGTTGTTTGCAAACAGCCTAGTATGGTGGCGTTTCTGAACCACAACAAATGTAACCGTTGGCTGGTAGTTTGGCTCCAACGCTGCACATGCCTGCATGATCGAAA